ATTATGCATACACAATCCAGTGCTGCGTGCAATGGTCTATGTAACACAGTGAGGTCCATATTATCTAGACACGATCCAGTGCTGCGTGCAATGGTCTATATAACACAGTGAGGTCCATATTATCTAGACACGATCCAGTGCTGCGTGCAATGGTCTATGTAACACAGTGAGGTCCATATTATCTAGACACGATCCAGTGCTGCGTGCAATGGTCTATGTAACACAGTGAGGTCCATATTATCTAGACACGATCCAGTGCTGCGTGCAATGGTCTATGTAACACAGTGAGGTCCATATTATCTAGACACGATCCAGTGCTGCGTGCAATGGTCTATGAAACACAGTGAGGTCCATATTATCCAGACACGATCCAGTGCTGCGTGCAATGGTCTATGTAACACAGTGAGGTCCATATTATCTAGACACGATCCAGTGCTGCGTGCAATGGTCTATGTAACACAGTGAGGTCCATATTATCTAGACACGATCCAGTGCTGCGTGCAATGGTCTATGTAACACAGTGAGGTCCATATTATCTAGACACGATCCAGTGCTGCGTGCAATGGTCTATGTAACACAGTGAGGTCCATATTATCTAGACACGATCCAGTGCTGCGTGCAATGGTCTATGAAACAGAGTGAGGTCCATATTATCCAGACACAATTCAGTGCTGCGTGCAATGGTCTATGAAACACAGTGAGGTCCATATTATCCCGACATAATCCAGTGCTGCGTGCAATGGTCTATGAAACAGAGTGAGGTCCATATTATCCCGACATAATCCAGTGTTGTGTGCAATGGTCTATGAAACAGAATGAGGTCCATATTATCCAGACACAATTCATTGCTGCGTGCAATGGTCTATGTAACACAGTGAGGTCCATATTATCTACACACGATCCAGTGCTGCGTGCAATGGTCTATGAAACAGAGTGAGGTCCATATTATCTAGACACGATCCAGTGCTGCGTGCAATGGTCTATGAAACACAGTGAGGTCCATATTATCTAGACACGATCCAGTGCTGCGTGCAATGGTCTATGAAACACAGTGAGGTCCATATTATCTAGACACGATCCAGTGCTGCGTGCAATGGTCTATGAAACAGAATGAGGTCCATATTATTATCCAGACACAATTCAGTGCTGCGTGCAATGGTCTATGAAACACAGTGAGGTCCATATTATATTATCTAGACACGATCCAGTGCTGCGTGCAATGGTCTATGTAACACAGTGAGGTCCATATTATCTAGACACGATCCAGTGCTGCGTGCAATGGTCTATGAAACAGAGTGAGGTCCATATTATCTAGACACGATCCAGTGCTGCGTGCAATGGTCTATGTAACACAGTGAGGTCCATATTATCCAGACACAATCCAGTGCTGCGTGCAATGGTCTATGAAACAGTGAGGTCCATATTATCCAGACACAATCCAGTGCTGCGTGCAATGGTCTATGAAACAGAGTGAGGTCCATATTATCCAGACATAATTCAGTGCTGCGTGCAATGGTCTATGAAACAGAGGTCCATATTATCCCGACATAATTCAGTGCTGCGTGCAATGGTCTATGAAACAGAGTGAGGTCCATATTATCCCGACATAATCCAGTGCTGCGTGCAATGGTCTATGAAATAGAGGTCCATATTATCCCGACATAATTCAGTGCTGCGTGCAATGGTCTATTTATATGTGACATAATTCAGTGCTGCGTGCAATGGTCTATGAAACAGAGGTCCATATTATCCCGACATAATTCAGTGCTGCGTGCAATGGTCTATGTAACACAGCGAGGTCCATATTATCTACACACAATCCAGTGCTGCGTGCAACGGTCTATGAAACAGACTGAGGTCCATATTATCCAGACACAATCCAGTGCTGCGTGCAATGGTCTTTGAAACAGAGTGAGGTCCATATTACCCAGACACAATTCATTGCTGCGTGCAATGGTCTATGTAACACAGTGAGGTCCATATTATCTACACACAATCCAGTGCTGCGTGCAATGGTCTATGAAACACAGTGAGGTCCATATTATCCAGACACAATTCAGTGCTGCGTGCAATGGTCTATGTAACACAGTGAGGTCCATATTATCTAGACACGATCCAGTGCTGCGTGCAATGGTCTATGTAACACAGTGAGGTCCATATTATCTAGACACGATCCAGTGCTGCGTGCAATGGTCTATGTAACAGAGTGAGGTCCATATTATCCAGACACAATCCAGTGCTGCGTGCAATGGTCTATGAAACAGAGTGAGGTCCATATTATCCAGACACAATCCAGTGCTGCGTGCAATGGTCTATGCAAACACAGTGAGGTCCATATTATCTAGACACGATCCAGTGCTGCGTGCAATGGTCTATGAAACAGAGTGAGGTCCATATTATCTAGACACGATCCAGTGCTGCGTGCAATGGTCTATGTAACACAGTGAGGTCCATATTATCTAGACACGATCCAGTGCGTGCAATGGTCTATGTAAACACAGTGAGGTCCATATTATCTAGACACGATCCACGATCCAGTGCTGCGTGCAATGGTCTATAACACAGTGAGGTCCATATTCCATGATCTATGTAACACAGTGAGGTCCATATTATCTAGACACGATCCAGTGCTGCGTGCAATGGTCTATGTAACACAGTGAGGTCCATATTATCTAGACACGATCCAGTGCTGCGTGCAATGGTCTATGTAACACAGTGAGGTCCATATTATCTAGACACGATCCAGTGCTGCGTGCAATGGTCTATGAAACACAGTGAGGTCCATATTATCCAGACACAATCCAGTGCTGCGTGCAATGGTCTATGAAACAGAGGTCCATATTATCCAGACAAAATCCAGTGCTGCGTGCAATGGTCTATGTAACACAGTGAGGTCCATATTATCTAGACACGATCCAGTGCTGCGTGCAATGGTCTATGTAACACAGTGAGGTCCATATTATCTAGACATAATCCAGTGCTGCGTGCAATGGTCTATGAAACAGAGTGAGGTCCATATTATCCAGACACAATCCAGTGCTGCGTGCAATGGTCTATGAAACAGAGTGAGGTCCATATTATCCAGACACAATCCAGTGCTGCGTGCAATGGTCTATGTAACACAGTGAGGTCCATATTATCTAGACACGATCCAGTGCTGCGTGCAATGGTCTATGTAACACAGTGAGGTCCATATTATCTAGACACGATCCAGTGCTGCGTGCAATGGTCTATGAAACAGAGTGAGGTCCATATTATCTAGACACGATCCAGTGCTGCGTGCAATGGTCTATGTAACACAGTGAGGTCCATATTATCTAGACACAATCCAGTGCTGCGTGCAATGGTCTATGTAACAGAGTGAGGTCCATATTATCTAGACACGATCCAGTGCTGCGTGCAATGGTCTATGTAAACACAGTGAGGTCCATATTATCTAGACACGATCCAGTGCTGCGTGCAATGGTCTATGAAACACAGTGAGGTCCATATTATCTAGACATAATCCAGTGCTGCGTGCAATGGTCTATATAACACAGTGAGGTCCATATTATCCAGACACAATCCAGTGCTGCGTGCAATGGTCTATGTAACACAGTGAGGTCCATATTATCTAGACACGATCCAGTGCTGCGTGCAATGGTCTATATAACACAGTGAGGTCCATATTATCTAGACACGATCCAGTGCTGCGTGCAATGGTCTATGTAACACAGTGAGGTCCATATTATCTAGACACGATCCAGTGCTGCGTGCAATGGTCTATGTAACACAGTGAGGTCCATATTATCCAGACACAATTCAGTGCTGCGTGCATGGTGGTCTATGATTAACACAGTGAGGTCCATATTATATCTAGACACGATCCAGTGCTGCGTGCAATGGCTATGCAGTGAGGTCCATATTATGACATAATCTATGCAATGGTCAGAGGTCCATATTATCAGACACGATCCAGTGCTGCGTGCAATGGTCTATGTAACACAGTGAGGTCCATATTATCTAGACACGATCCAGTGCTGCGTGCAATGGTCTATAGTAACACAGTGAGGTCCATATTATCCAGACACAATCCAGTGCTGCGTGCAATGGTCTATGAAACACAGTGAGGTCCATATTATCCCGACACAATCCAGTGCTGCGTGCAATGGTCTATGAAACAGAGTGAGGTCCATATTATCCCGACATAATTCAGTGCTGCGTGCAATGGTCTATGAAACAGAGTGAGGTCCATATTATCCCGACATAATTCAGTGCTGCGTGCAATGGTCTATGAAACAGAGGTCCATATTATCCCGACATAATTCAGTGCTGCGTGCAATGGTCTATGAAACAGAGGTCCATATTATCCAGACACGATCCAGTGCTGGGTGCAATGGTCTATGAAACAGAGGTCCATATTATCCAGACCCGATCCAGTGCTGGGTGCAATGGTCTATGAAACAGAGGTCTATGTTATCCAGACACAGTGGATGATGTATGCAATGATCTATGTAACACAGCGAAGTCCATACTAAACAGTCACAGTCCAATGTTCAGTGTTTCGCAGTGACCTTTACCAATGCTGAATGCATTCACAGTGGCGTCTACCCACGAGTGCAAGCGGACATGCCAGGAGAACGAGCAACCCCGGGTGTGTGTGTACAACTTCACCGTGGAGTGGTACAGAACGCTCTCTAAGGTGAGAACACAAAATCCTTAATCCACTATCATAAGAAGTGAAATGCCATACACTATCATTGAATAATTAGTATGAAACAATCGGGCGGTCTTTTACTTACGTTGAGAAAACGTTCCAAAGCGTTTTTTTGCACTAACATAATTATCATCTGTAGTTTAAATTTCTTCAAATGAAGACTTTCTAAGAATGCTTTGGACAAGTAGTGGGTGTGGTTTCAGATGGGGTGGTGATTCCCAAACTGGTATACAATCTATAAAGGTCCATTTAATCATGGCGTCCCTTTCCTGCTTATAGCCTATTTATATGTGACTATTAAGGCATGCTACGATTGTCCCTTCAACCACTCGGACTGTTTTCGGCCGCACTGTGTGTCCGGAGATGGGAGGATTAAACCCTTGATCGCAGTCAACAGACAGGTGCCCGGGCCATCTATTGAGGTCAGTGTGAACTCTTAATCGTACGAGGGGCGTTCAAAAAAGTAGTCAGACTCACCTAGAAAATGATACAATACAATGCAGCTGTTTTATTGTTTTATTTTTCTACATATTATCTGTCACCTTTCAAGCAAATTGGTTTTGATTTCTTCCAGCCTCACGTACTCCATTTTGTTTGACTTTTTGTCTTGGTATCCCCCCCAAAACTCAAAATCTGCAACAAATGCATCACAAACTTCAGGAAACAAAATATGCAAGAAACATTTTGAGTGTTTGAACCAAACTTAAATTATATTAAAGTGCATACAAAAAGCAATTTGAAACTACAATCGCTTGTTAAAGTGACGCCCCTCAATGTTTACTAAACGAGCTTGTTTTGGAGGCACAACCCACCCCCTTTCAGGGTTCAAACTAAATACTGAATGGTGACACATGTGTCAGCTCTCAATATATATACACATTGCCAGTTTGAATATCTGGACACACTATTTTTGAAAGATTAAAATGGGGATGTCCTTAAAAAAAAACCTGTCTAAATATAAATAAAGCAATCCAAATCATTGACTGTGTTTATGATACTATACTGAACATATTTTATGTAATATTATCTGAGGGCATACCATTATCCAAGAAGTACCAAAAAACAGATCGTTTTTCATTTTCTGCAATTTTTAAAGAAATATCATACCCCAATGTGTTGTGATGACTCGTTACCACATGACCCACATATGGGAAATTGTGGATATGGCTTTACTAATGATTCCTTCAAAATATAATGTAAGTTTTTCAAATATTGGGCATCGAGAATATAGTTAGGCTGACCACTTTTTGAACGCCACTCCTAACTCCGATCTTGGTCTAGAACGAATGCTTTGACAAACATAGGCCGTGTAATATGGTCAAGGGACGTATCAGTGGATTACTATATTCTCTGAAACATACACACATCCTAATGAAGTGTGAGTGAGTTTGGTTTTACACCGCCTTTAGCAATATTCCAGCAATAACACCGGGGGGAACACCAGAAATGGGCTTCACACATTGTACCCATGTAGGGAACTGAACCCGTGTCTTCGGCGTTACGAGCGAACGCTTTAACCATTAGGCTACCCCACCGCCTCCTAATGAAGAGGACCTGCGTGGTGGTGTGGTGTGACGTCACATACTCCTCTGTTGTAGGTGTGTGAGGGTGACCACGTGGTGGTGTGGGTGACCAACGATATGGAAGATGGCCAGGGCACAAGTATACACTGGCACGGACAGCACCAGATGAAAACGCCATACTCGGACGGAGTTGGGCAAATCACACAGTGCAACATCGGCGTCAAAGAAACCTTTAAGTGCGTGTTTCATTTCAACTGCATGAACTCATTTCACTCATTAACATACGTCTCGATTTCCCACATTAATAACGGTACCATTAGAGGGACTGCACCAAAAGGATTCTCTCGCTTTAATAGAGGGACTGCATCAAAGGTATTCTCTCATTGCATGATGATTGCATTGTACCCAAAGGATTCAAGTTTATCCATTTCAAATCGGCCCAAAACACCTGGTAGTTATATCCAGTTCTGTAATTAGTGCACTGTGTAACATTGATGCTGTGTCACTGATGGTTGCAGTACCAATTGTTTATGGAATGAACTTTACACCAACAGTCTCTCTTAGCGGGAGCATGATGAGCCATTGGAAATAAATGTTGCATGTCGGATATTAACCGATTATTCCGAATTTCTCTTTGACGCAATTAGGCATTAGGCATTGTCCGTGTCCGAGGGAACAAAATAATGCTGACAATGCTCGAAGTCAAGCAGCCCGTGTGAATACATTTCAGATACGAGTTCACAGCCTCGCCAGCCGGCACCCACTGGTACCACGGTCACACAGGCATGCAGCTCGCTGATGGTTTATTCGGTGCCTTCATCGTCCGCCAACCCAAAGACCGAGACCCCAACGGTGCCCTGTACGACGTCGACGATCACGTCATGTTGGTAGGAGACTGGATTCCAGTCACGTCAATGACAAGATACGTAGATCTGATGTACAACATTTACGACTCATCTCTACCACAGGGACTGCACATCAATGGCAGAGCTCGCAAAGCTGATGTCCCAAACAAGTTCAACATCGTCAAGACGAACCTGACCACAGCCAAGACACCAATGGAGGTGTTTGAGGTGACGAGGGGTCAGAAGTACAGACTACGTGTGATTGGATCGTCCGCCAACTGCCCAATACACGTGGCAGTAGAGAAACACCAGCTGCAGGTGATCGCTAGTGATGGAATGCCCGTCCGGCCAAGACCAGTCGATGTCTTCATAGTCTTTCCAGGTGAGACCAAAGTTTGGCCTAACTACCCTTGTATTTTCGCAGTTGTTTGTAAACCAAAAGCACCTACACAGTAATTTTATGAACCTCAGCTTAATCCAAATATTAATTAGCGATATTTAACACGTTTTTACCGTGTTTTGCAGAGTGAGTGAATATGGTTTTACGCCGCTATTTACAATGTTCTGGAAACACCAAAAATGGACTTTGTTCACACATTGTTCCCAGGAAATCGAACCTGTGTTCTCGAAGTGACGAGTGAACGCTTTAATCACTAGGCTGCCCCACCGCTTTTATAGATAAGATTCCTTTAAACTCTTGTGATAATGCAAATGAATTTAATGTTCGAGTCACGACATATAGAAACGTAACATGATATAAAATATCATCAAAGTGATACTCAACTCCATCACACGCAAACACACCGAGTATGTAGAAATTTTGCAATACATTCTGAAAGGAAATTCGTTTAATGCCATCTCGATGAAATAGGAATAAGTGTCATTATAGAGCTATTTCCGTAATGTCCTTTCAAATCGAACCTATTTCACTTGTTGTCACCACCCGCTCACTGATGTCATGAATGATGAAGCTGGACGTGCTCGTGGTGTCAGTATACTTTACAAGGCCACGTGTGCCAGCACTGTACTGACTTACCGAAACCACGCACAAACTTGGCTGCACCATCTGAATATCATCTCTCAGTTTCATAAACGCTGGAATACATAAATGTTGGAACAAGATAGAATAACAATAGGATCTAGAGATATTTTTTTAATGTTCAGTTAAGAAGTTGTCTGGACTCAGTGTGGAGCGTGTGTGTTATAAATAAATTTCTGTGTGAACCTTAATGCATTTCAGAGTGTTAAGTCAGGGCATAATGTTGTCATTGGTAGAATGCACAAACTGAAAAAAGCAAAAAGAATTGGAACAAACCCATTCTGTCCCAGTCAGCTGTCATTCAAAGTCTGAATACCGTTCAGGGGGAAGTTTGTCCTTGTTCCCACTGTCAAGGCCTCAAATATTCAATGCCCCAGTAGAGCTTTCAGAACGTTTTATGACAGATGTGTGAAGGGCAGGAAAAAGAAATGATGCATCAGTGCAAAAATGATGTCCGATGCAATTCTCTATTGTCACTTTACAGACGTGTCACTTTTATGACAGACGTGTGAAGGGCAGGAAAAAGATTGATGCATCAGTGACGAAAATGATGTCCGATGCAATCCTCTGTTGTCACTTTACGTTCCCGATTTATTTCAGGTGAACAGTTGACTTGCCTTTTGCATATGTTTATGACGGGTCAACTGGAGGGGCAGGACAGGCTTACCATATTGCGAACAACTGGTGCCATCACTATTTGATAGCGATTCTTTTACTGACCACATACATACATACATACATACATACATACATACATACATACATACATACATACATACATACATACATACATACATACATACATACATACATACATACATACATACATACATACATACATGCATGCATGCATGCATACATACATACATACATACATGCATACATACATCATACATGCATGCATACATGCATACATACATACATACATACATACATACATACATACATACATACATACATACATGCATACATACATACATACATACATACATACATACATACATACATACATACATACATACATACATACATACATACATACATACATACATACATACATACATACATACATACATGCATACATCCAGTAAGCCACCTACCTACCTACCCACCCACCCATAAAACGCACACAGGCACGCATACTTCTGTAAGTACGTACATGTACCTTCCCCAAAACCCACCCCGATATAGAGACAGAGACATACATGTTAGAAACGTGTTTCAAGACACACACACACACACACACACACACACACACACACACACACACACACACACACACACACACACACACACACACACACACACACACACACACACACACAGAGAGAGAGAGACAGACAGACAGACACACACATCACACATCACCACACCGCACACAAAACTCAACCACGAGCACACAAACGCACACCACAAACACACACGCACGCACGCACGCACGCACACACACACACATACAGACGGAAACATACATGTTGGAAGCGTGTTTCAAGAGAACAAGTTTCAGTTGTACATATCCTCACGTGACAATACATGGTCATAACGGTTACATTGTTGTTATGATGATGATGATGATGCCGAACTGCACTTGTCGTTGTGTATCTACAATGAAATAAACACAACTGAGTTCTGAAAATGCATCTTAAATGCTACATAAGAAATACAGTGAAGTCGTGCTTCCCATCCACCCTTTACATTCCCTCAGTTAGGATCCATTGGGCGGTACTTGGACCAGGACCCTGCTAACGTATATTTAGTGATACCTCACATCCTGCATGAACGGGTGGTGGGTTCTGTAGGACCTACTCAGTGATTTAACACCATTTGATACCATCCATTGACAGTTCTATTGTCTGTACAAATCTCCTCTAATCATCTAAGATTAGAGAGAGTGGACGCGGTCGCATCACTCAGATCAGTCGCCATTGATATGATTCAGCCGTATAACACACATTATTACATTAATTATAACCCTATGTTTAGTCACCCTACACTTCCCTGCTGCTAGAACATCGTGTACCTACAAGCAATTGATGCATTCAATATCCCCGTGCAAACGGAATAGTATTGTACACAAACAGCCCTGAAGCATTGCAAACCTTCCGAAAAAGAACCACTTCCAGATATAAAAGTCAAAAGTACACCGTCACTTTGACCATCCACGTGTCTTATTTCCTCTCCAAACATGAGTGAGTGAGTTTAGTTTTACGCCACACTCAGCAATATTCCAGCTATATGGCGGCGATCTATACATAATCAAGTCTGGACCAAACAATCCAGTGATCAACAGCATGAGCATCGATCTGCTCAATTGGGTACCGATGACATGTGTCAATCAAGTCATCGAGTCTGACCACCCGATCCCGTTAGTCGCTTCTTACGACAAGCATGGGTTACTGAGGACCAATTCTAACCCAGATCTTCACGGGTCCCGTGGAACATGAGTGTGAACATAATGTGACTCCTGCTATCACATTCATTTCTGAAATCTAACTGCTGCTTCCTTGTAGGTGAGCGATACGATTTCCTGTTGTTTGCGAACCAGGTCGTGGGTAACTACTGGATCAAGGTCGTCGGTTTGGGGGACTGCCGAGTGGCTGATGTGTCTGCGGCTGCCATCTTGAGATATACGGGGGCACCGGATGAAGACCCCAGTACTGAAACCATGTTCTCGACTGCAGGCGGGGTGAGTCGACAGTTGTTGCTTAAAATATATAAGCCAGGAAAAGAAACTGCATGGTTAATATTTTTCCAAAATAGAAAATATCACAATGAAAAGTTAACTAGAAAAGGTGGATATTAAAATCATAAGAAGACGACATAACAGCATGATTAATGTCCATGACATTGACGTCACGAAGCCAAATGCGGGGCAAGCTCTATGACGGCAGTACCCTAGGTGAGCGGAGAGAACAGCAGTGCATCGCCGACGAGTCTATCAAATATGCATGGGAGGTTTGATGAATAGCTTGACATTTTCCCCGCTACTCTGCTGCCAAATTGCCAACGTTATCTCACGGCGTGGACGTCGCTCCAGTTCATCCTGCTCTATCGGGAGAGATCCGGTGTATTTGCAGGCCGATGCAGTACTTGAATACTGTGGTGTTGAAGACAAACCATAGAAGCAAGAGCCGCGATAGAACGAGCATTATTATTTTGGAATGTCCGTCCTGGGCCATGACATTGAAGAAAAGGAATTGCCACTGATCCGAGACTCTCATGCCTGTAGCAACAAAGGTGGATTTGTAGGCCAAGGCAGTACTTGAACATTGTGGTGCGAAACAATAGCATAGAAACCCTAGCCATGAGAGGAAGGGCATTATCATGTAGGAATGTCATTCCTGAGCTGAAGAAACGGTTGTGCCACTGGTCCAAGAATCTGATCTCTGTAGCCCACACCTGTCAGACTGCCCGAAACAATGGAACTGCACAGCCAGCTTGAGACATTATCACATGGGCCATCCCAATGGCCTCATGACCTTGTGTCGTGGTATGATGTCCAGTTCATTAGCCGCTTAATCATGATAGTTTTTGAACGATAAAACTGAACTTCCCAAATCGACAGTAGTTTTTGACACCCATATGCTTCATGAAGTATTTCGAGAAGGATGTGACATTGACAAACGTATTGTCAGAGTCCATGCCGAATCCATTGACGTGGCACATGCACATGTGTTCAATTCAATTAATAAATCCGGTGTTTGCATCTTTACTCTTACTGTTACTCATATTATACCGAGAATAACAATTTAAGCGCCAGCCTATTTCAAAAACTAAGATGTGAAGCTCTGGAAATGTTAGGCTAAATAATTGGGAAGACCATTCCATATTTAGAGAAGGTTCATCTGGTAGCTGATTTAGGGATATCATAAACATTTCTATTTACAATTAAAGAAAATATTTTTAAAGATATGATAGCACTGCTTTTTAAAGCAAAATAACTATTCCTATTCTGCTTATACAACACTAGTAAACTTAGGTTTCACTTGTCAAAAACGACAATCATGTGACCATATAACAGTCATTTCTGATTTTCACTGTTCAAAAGAAGGTAACCTTTTTGAGGAAAACAAAATGCATGTTTTCCAAAAGCGCATACATCCTTTTTAAAGTAAAAGATAATTTCCATAAATGTTTTGTTTTTAAACTAACAGTACTAAACCAAACTATGAAAAGATTTCCTATGAGACAACCTATATTGGCAAAATATTCTGGGTAGCGCTTAACTTTTTATTCACAGTATATAACGTTTCTGACTGTTGCAGGTGATGTTAAATCCAACACCCTCTAAAGGTTCGGAGCTTTACGGGACAAATCACAGTTGGCTCCGCCCAGCAGAGCTGAGGAATGCCATAGATGTCAACCTGACACAACAAGCAGTGGACAGAAGGTTGTATATAGGTAGGACGTGTTGTCTGACACAACAAGCAGTGGATACAAGGCTGTATATAGGTAGGAAGTGTTTTCTGACACAACAAGCAGTGGATACAAGGCTGTATATAGGTAGGAAGTGTTGTCTGACACAACAAGCAGTGGATACAAGGCTGTATATAGGTAGGAAGTGTTGTCTGACACAACAAGCAGTGGATACAAGGCTGTATATATGTAGGAAGTGTTGTCTGACACAACAAGCAGTGAATACAAGGCTGTATATAGGTAGGAAGTGTTGCTGACACAACAAGCAGTGGATACAAGGCTGTATATAGGTAGGAAGTGTTGTCTGACACAACAAGCAGTGGATACAAGGCTGTATATAGGTAGGAAGTGTTGTCTGACACAACAAGCAGTGGATACAAGGCTGTATATAGGTAGGAAGTGTTGTCTGACACAACAAGCAGTGAATACAAGGCTGTATATAGGTAGGAAGTGTTGTCTGACACAACAAGCAGTGGATACAAGGCTGTATATAGGTAGGAAGTGTTGTCTGACACAACAAGCAGTGGATACAAGGCTGTATATAGGTAGGAAGTGTTGTCTGACACAACAAGCAGTGGATACAAGGCAGTATATAGGTAGGAAGTGTTGTCTGACACAACAAGCAGTGGATACAAGGCTATATATAGGTAGGAAGTGTTGTCTGACACAACAAGCAGTGGATACAAGGCTGTATATAGGTAGGAAGTGTTGTAAAGTGTGTACAACGGACAGTAAATGCAAACATTAAGCTGAAGATATGATCAAATGATTGGTGCCAAACATTGCGAACTTAAAACAAGTCTTTGCAACAGCTCTTGTGCTGGACCCCCTCCCCCCTTCACTGACTGACCAACACTTTCACCCATTCTACAATCACTACCACTGATTCTAACACTTTCATTAATTCCACTAACACTTCTCCAGGCTATATCAAAACCTTCACTTTGTCTGCCAGAACTTTCATTGACTCTATCAACACTTCAACTAACTCTGCCAATATTTCCACTGACACTACCAACACGTGACTGACTGTACCAACACCTCCACTGACTGTACTAACTAGTCCGTCCGCACATGCTCTGATTTTGCCAAGACTTCCACTGACTACCAAGATATCCGCTGACACTACCAACACGTGACTGACACTACCAACACGTGACTGACAGTACCACTCCACTAATTCTGCCAACACTATACATTCACTGGTTTACCATGACTTCCACTGACTACCGAGATATCCACTGACACTACCAACACGTGACTGACACTACCAACACGTGACTGACAGTACCGCTCCACTTATTCTGCCAACACTCCACTAATTCTGCCAACACTATACATTCACTGGTTTTACCATGACTTCCACTGACTACCAAGATATCCACTGACACTACCAACACGTGACTAACACTACCAACACGTGACTGACACTACCAACACGTGACTGACAGTACCACTCCACTAATTCTGCCAACACTCCACTAATTCTGCCAACACTATACATTCACTGGTTTACCATGACTTCCACTGACTACCGAGATATCCACTGACACTACCGACACGTGACTGACACTACCAACACGTGACTGACACTACCAACACGTGACTGACAGTACCGCTCCACTTATTCTGCCAACACTCCACTAATTCTGCCAACACTATACATTCACTGGTTTTACCATGACTTCCACCGACTAACAATATATCCACTGACACTACCAACACGTGACTGACACTACCAACACGTGACTGACACTACCAACACGTGACTGACAGTACCACTCCACTTATTCTGCCAACAGTCCACTAATTCTGCCAACACTATACATTCACTAGTTTTACCATGACTTCCACTGACTAACAATATATCCACTGACACTACCAACACGTGACTGACACTACCAACACGTGACTGACACTACCAACACGTGACTGACAGTACCACTCCACTTATTCTGCCAACAGTCCACTAATTCTGCCAACACTATACATTCACTAGTTTTACCATGACTTCCACTGACTAACAATATATCCACTGATATTACCAACACGTGACTGACAGTACCACTCCACTAATTCTGCCAACACTCCACTAATTCTGCCAACACTATACATTCACTAGTTTTACCATGACTTCCACTGACTAACAATATATCCACTGACACTACCAACACGTGACTGACACTACCAACACGTGACTGACACTACCAACACGTGACTGACACTATCAACCCGCGACTGACACTACCAACACTCCACTAATTCTGTCAACACATCCAGTGACTATGCCAACACTTTCCTCCCTGGTTCCTTGATTCCGTGGACATTATCTGTTTCAGGTATGGAATTCAACAACAACGACAACCAGAAATACAACAACAAAGAACTGTATCCAACGTCTGTTCTTCCGCCCCGTAAAGGACATTTTACACCTGTTATGGATAATGTATCCTTCCACGAAATGTCAAGAGTTCTCACTTTGAGTTATCCAGTTCTTTTAATGTGATGCCGACGATATACTGACTATAAATATTCCATATGACACTGATCATTGAAGCAATATTTCAAGTCAACAAATCATCTTAACGCATGCGCAGATAACTTTCCTCCTGCCTCCCATCCCAGTATTGTCTCAGCCGGAGGACGTTGATGAATCGTGGTTCTGTAACAGATCAACGATCAAAGACTTCGACAAGTGTATGACGGATCTGTGCTTATGTACATACATGCTTAGGTTTAAGCCAGACGAGGTTAGTTAACTACATATGGTGACAAAGTTTTAACTCTTTTGCGAGTTAGTAATCAGTTTGTGACACCTGCCAGGGCGCTTCGAAACAAGTGAGCAGTTGGTCACAATGAATTTTGCTGCAGATGAACTCTCAGCATTAATTGTACTGTAAAATCAGACAGCCGTGGTCGGGGGCGCATCAATACCAACGTCTTTGCCCAATATGTATTTTAAGCTCATTCCAGAATCTTATAAAGTATAATATATATAATTATGTCATTTCATTTCACATACCTGTCATTCATTAAAATATCTTCTTTTAAAAAAAACTGCAATTAATTCAAATGGTGCAGTTTTTCTGGGCTGGTGAACTTCCTTTGTTGATTTTTGACATATCGCAAATTATTGTTGTCGTCAGTTATTGATTATTTACTTCTCAGTAAAGTGCACATTCTAGTGCATTTGGGTGTTCAGTCCTATCTCAGCGTAAAGCACCTATTCGCCAGCACACAAAGTCAGCGATCTAGCCACCACGGCCTACACAAACGTACAAGTATATGCAACTGGGGCTGAGACCATGTAAGTTGACATGTCGGAATGGTGTAAAATGGTACATTTGGTAGATTATATGTTTTTAATTCACAGATATTTTACGTGTTTGTCTTCAGATAGTGGAGCTAGTTGTGATAAACCAAGCGAAGACATTCTCGGAAGTAGGTCATCCTGTACATCTTCACGGTCATAGCTTCTACATTATGGGAGAAGGACAGGTGAGTGAGACAGAAATCTAACCAGATGCTACCAGCAATGATGAGATCGGCTTTGCAGATATCTATGGGACTGTTACTCATATTGGTTATACCTGACTATACCAAACAATGTCGACGTTTGAAACACAAACGCGAGAACGTCCATACACACCAACCCCAACACAATTCTTTGACGTTCTAACAAGGACACCAGATTTTCCCAGGCTGACATAATACCTGCTTAATTGGTGAACTGGAAATTTACATTGTTACATTACGCCACATTTACAGAACATACAATTATTATTTTATGGTCTTTTATCATATCAATAATATGAACATATTTCTTAGTCTGTTCAAGGGGTTCTGTCTGTGTCCTTCCGACCACACCATGACCACCAAGACGTGTCCAGTGTAAAAACACATTCTTAAGTAAATACCAGATTCAGTGCCTTGATATCATTCTTAGTTTTGTCATATGTCATTTGTCAAGTTCAACAAGTCGTCAACAAACCGGGCTGAAGTGATGCGTCTGGACCAAGAGGGGAAGATTCCCCGCAACTACATCAACCCCCCCTCACAAAGACACCGTCAACGTGCTCGACGCCGGTTACGTCATTCTCAGATTTCAGGCCAATAATCCAGGTACATATAGTTTTTATTGACTGTATTCAGGAACGTACCTCATCACCTATTTCATGATGAACATCTTTGTTCTGGGAACTATTTTATGGGTACAATATATCAGCCATTGGACTCTATCTGTACTCTCCATCATGGCGTTAACGCCTGAATACGTGTCCTTCTTTCAGGCTTCTGGTTCTTCCATTGTCACACTGACAGTCATCTGGCCCAGGGGAAGGCCTTGCTAGTGAAGATAGGAGAATACGAGGACTTCCCTCCCATACCTTCCACCTTCCCCAAGTGTGGAGGGTGGGGCTTCTCTAACGCCAAGAAGAAAGAGGATCGCCCATGTGTCACCAGTGGATCTGCCCAGCACTCGCTTAGTTTCCTGGTGGCCATCTCATTAGCAATAGTTGCATGCAGGAGTATTGGCCAATAATTAATAGTACTCTACTGACAGTGTACTATGACCATCAAGAACTTATTTTATACTTTCTCCAAAATTGGTATTTCTTTACACGCTTTATCTGCAAGTGCTATCACCAATTACTCAATTCCATGACACGAATTTAGAAAAGTCTTTTTTAGGAAATGTTGTCAATTGATATAGCGAGGAATCATTTATTGTTGTTCTGGCAGGTTTATTCTTGACGGGTAATATTGGGTATGTTAACTACGAAAGCCTAATCGGGCCACTTCGATGGCATATATTCTTTTGAACGAAACTGTATTTCATTTACTTGAAATTGTTTTAAGTTTCGTGTTTTTTATTGTATTGTCGAATATGTTTTCGTAAATCAGATTGATTCCTTGTCATTTCAGATCTGTTGTCATTACTCGAAAAAAAATGCGATTTTTCCTCACGTTAATAACGATTACAGTCTTGTTATTTTAAGTATCTTCTGGAAATTTCGAGTGTTTTTCTTTCCTTCGATTAATTTTCCAGCCCGTTGGGCTTTTTCAAGGTTGACCTATAACATTTACAACTGCTGGTTGAAAGCCTCGCTCATTCACTCACTCATTCACTCACTCACCCACCAGCCCCCCTTCTCACTCAATCAATCAAATCGCCCTTGTGTCACGTATGTATCTATACATATACAATGTATTTGTAAAGTACATGTATCTTAAAAAACACTTAAAATGCTGGCAGACCGTACCTCATTCACACGGCTTATGTCCCTCAGTTTGTTACAATGTAATATTTGATGGACATAGAGATTTTTCTGGGTTACATCTTCTTTTTATTCTCACCAGAAAAATCGCTATGATCATCAAATAGCGTCTTCTAAAATGCCAATCAAGCATCTAATGTAATATTTGTATACATATATTTGCAACGTATCCTCAAATATAAAAGATAGCCTGAAAATGCTGCTTCTGTTATTTTCGTCTTCAATAATATGAAATCCTTCGCAGAAAAGAAGATAAGAAATTAATTTTTTTTTATTATCATGCAATCAGTCTCAGTATTGCTTTTACTGTTTTAGGTATTTATCCAACGACCTTAACATGTGTTCTGCTATTAGCCTAGATAAATAACATTCTACCAGTCTCTCTGACCGCCTCCGTGGTGTAGTGGTTAGAGCGTCCGCGTCCCCCGATCGCGTCACACCAAAAGACGTTAAAATATGGTACTTGTTGGCGATTGGTATTAATGGGTACAACAAGGACTGGTCAGCTCGGAGTCAATATAATGTGTCTGAGTAGGGTATTCATGCTTCACTGCGGCATGGTATCTCAGCGGGCTAGCACTATAAAACCAGCTTAGTCTGGGCTAGTACAAGCAGTCGCACATACACATACACACGCATGCACGTCGTCATATGAGCGAAATATTCTCAAGCACGACTTTAAACCCAATTTCACCTCACCTCATCTACCAGTCTCTAAATTTGATCATTTGTTCGTCCGTAGTACCATGTAACAGAATAAAGCAAAGCTTACTTTATATGTGACCACATGATCCAGTGCCGACATGCTATTCATAGTAGTTGTCTGACAGACAACGTTGATTTAAATGTCTGGACATTTCACTGGAAAATGTCTGGAAATTTAACTGGAAAATGCTGGCCACATGTTGCCGATCGTTACGCTCTGTTTAACGCCAACTATTTTTTATAAATTCATGACTGTCAAGTCTGTATTGTCCACTGGCCTATTTGAAATGCACAGAGGAAGGTTGCTCTTAATGTCTCTTTTCAGCATGAAACTGTATATATAATATCTCGGCTCACTAACTCAGAACTGCCACCCTCAGTCGCGGTCCCTGTGATGACCTGAATGTAGGTCAATGTTTCTGGGTCAGATGTACGAATGTTTATATTGTGAGGAGGGTACAGATACAAACACAATGAACAAGTAAATTCTACAGACGTAATAGAATGACATTTAGAATTATTGTTAATCGGATGGTTGAAATACTTGAAATCGTTGATTATATTCTTTTCACACTAAAACAAAACAAAATACGAACAACTCCCCCCCACCGAACAGGCCCCGAAACGTTGTATCACAGAATAAAAGAAGATGAAGTCTAGACAATTCTTCGTCTCCCCCCTCCTCAGCCAGCCACCGTAAAACAACATTCAGAAAAAAAGAAACAAACAACCTGGTTATATGCAAACCATTCTTCTGAAATGGGTAAAAAAGACTTTGCATCAATATCCATATGCGTGCATATTCAAATATGTGCATGCGTGCGTGTGTTTATGTCCTACATGTACATATACTGAATATATTGTATCATTTCCAATGACAATAGCCCTTTGCATTTTTCATCAACACTTTTGGTATATACAAAACAAAATTAACCAAAAATATTAAAACATTAAATATGCTCGTATGATCGTCATCTACCTAGTAGTAGTACCTCCGACAAACGCATCAGTAATCACGGTGCGTTGAAAACACACGATTCAGTCAATTTCAACATATGGCATCCAGCCAAATAGTACGGATAATTCTGGCCAATGATTGCGGTCAGTCTTCAGAGTGATACACGATGTACGTAATCTCGACCTGTGTGCGCCTCACTCGTTGGGTTCGAATCCCAGAGGGGACTCAATCACCCCCAATTCCTAGAATATGTATTTTTCTAAGAGTGTCAAATCAAAGGACAGGCATAGCATTTTTTCATTTGACACTTTCGTAATGGTAAAGCGTATTAGCCTGTGAATAAGACGGGTCCCCTTGTTATAGTAGCATGGGAATACAATGGCTTCAGATTTTTCACACTTCACGTTGCCTCATTACATATGCAGGTGGGAAGCAACCAGAGTGACGTAGACGCATTAATAGAATTACACGTTTAAAAAAGGTTATTACAAAAGTTAGAAAGCATATCCCCGTCCATAAAGAAGCGTCCATAAAATCCCAACTGTTTGCGTGTGAGTGCGTACATTTGTGAAGGGTAAACATTCGACCATGGTGCCTTGAAGATAACACAGAGGATGCGAACCAGCAAGTCCCACTTAAGAATATTTCGCTTATTTGACTACGTGCATGCGTGTGTATGTGCGACTGCTTGTACTAGCCCAGACTGAAGCTGTTTTTATAGTGCTAGCCCACTGAGATACCATGCCGCAGTTGAAGCATGAATACCCTACTCAGACACATTATACTTACTCCGAGCCGACCAGTCCTTGTTGTACCCATTACTGCCGAGCGCCAGGCAGGAACCAACAAGTAACATATTTTAACGTCTTTTGGTATGACGCGGTCGGGGATCGAACCCGCGACCTTCCGCTCTCCGGGCGGACGCACTAACCACTACACCACGGAGGCGAAGTGATGCATCTTACCAATTTGGTGAGACACGTGAACGTGTTGGTTCGAATTCGGGTTCGGAAACACTTGCTTGTTGTAAGGGGCGAAACACGGGATCGAAAGGACAGAATCGCTGACTTGGTTGATGTATTGTCATTGTATTCAAACTGAATACATTGATGCTCATGATTTCAATCATTGGATTTTCTGGTCCAGACTCGATTATTACATACCCGTCATATAGCTGGAATATTGCTGCCTGCGGCGTTGAATAACAAACAAACAAACAAACAAACAAACACAAGAACATTAATTTCTGGAACACATAAGGGACGCGCAGGACCTCCAGTTGAACATCAAGCTTATACCACTGCCACCGTGACCGCATTTCCACATGCTTGCTTGCTTGCTTGGTGTTTAACGACGCACTCAGCAATCTTCCAGCCATGTGGCGGCGGTCTGTAAATAATCGGGTCAGTGAGCCTGACCACCCGATCCCGTGAGTCGCTTCTTACGACAAGCATGGGTTACTGAAGATCAATTCTAACAACTGAATCCGTCTGATCGGGTGCTCAGACTCGCAGACTTGGTTAATACATGGCATCGCATCCCAATTGCATAGATCGATGTTCATGCTGTTGATCACTGGATTGTCTGGTCAAGACTCGACTTTTTACAGACCGGCGCCATACAGCTGGAATATTGCTGCGTGCGGCAACAATCAATAAAAAAACAAACAAACAAACAAACAAACAAACAAACCTCAAATTGGATTCAAATGATTGCAACCACGAAAGCCATAGATTCGTACGTAAAATGACCAGCTGAAAGCTTTTCATGCGAGGTCTGTTCCAGAAATGTGCAATTTTGAGAATCAAAGCAATCACTGAAGCGCTATTATTAATATATAATTGATTTCCACATCAAGTATTTACATATCCACACAAAACATCTACACTTTGTGTCAGTTTTACTCTTGGTTGTACATATATTCTCTATGTCCGGAGAGCAGTAGGGTAGTCTCGTGGTTAAAGCTTAACGCGTTCACTTGTAACGCTTAAAACCCTGGTTCGATTCCCAACATGGGCACAATGTGTGAAACCCATTTCTGGTGTCCTTCCGCCGTGATATTGCTGGAATATTGCTAAAAGCGGCATAAAACTAAACTCACTCACTCACTTTGTCCGGACCTCGTCAATACGGACATCTGGCTTTCCGGGCGATCATTAATATTCCTGATGTTTCACCCATTAACAGACCGTGGGCTCCCGTTTAACGGCATGGTGTATTCAGTTTGGACGAGAAAGCTACCGATCGAACCATACAGCTACATGGTATTGTCAACACGTACATTACCCGTGAAGATCCGGGTTAGAATTGATCTTCAGTAACCCATGCTTGTCGTAAGAGGCGACTAACGGGATCGGGTGGTCAGGCTCGCTGACTCGGTTGACACATGGCATAGTATCCCAATTGCGTAGATCGATGCTCATGCTGTTAATCACTGGATTGTCTGGTCCAGACTCGATTATTTAAGGACCGCCGCCATATAGGTGTTGCTATTACAAATAAACAAACACCACGTACATTACATACGTAACGTAACCATCGATAACATATGCAAATTAAAAAACCTTTACATAGTAATACAACCCTGAATATCGTTCTCGG